AAAAAAAAAAAAAAAAAAAAAAAAAAAAAAAAAAAAAAAAAAAAAAAAAAAAAAAAAAAAAAAAAAAAAAAAAAAAAAAAAAAAAAAAAAAAAAAAAAAAAAAAAAAAAAAAAAAAAAAAAAAAAAAAAAAAAAAAAAAAAAAAAAAAAAAAAAAAAAAAAAAAAAAAAAAAAAAAAAAAAAAAAAAAAAAAAAAAAAAAAAAAAAAAAAAAAAAAAAAAAAAAAAAAAAAAAAAAAAAAAAAAAAAAAAAAAAAAAAAAAAAAAAAAAAAAAAAAAAAAAAAAAAAAAAAAAAAAAAAAAAAAAAAAAAAAAAAAAAAAAAAAAAAAAAAAAAAAAAAAAAAAAAAAAAAAAAAAAAAAAAAAAAAAAAAAAAAAAAAAAAAAAAAAAAAAAAAAAAAAAAAAAAAAAAAAAAAAAAAAAAAAAAAAAAAAAAAAAAAAAAAAAAAAAAAAAAAAAAAAAAAAAAAAAAAAAAAAAAAAAAAAAAAAAAAAAAAAAAAAAAAAAAAAAAAAAAAAAAAAAAAAAAAAAAAAAAAAAAAAAAAAAAAAAAAAAAAAAAAAAAAAAAAAAAAAAAAAAAAAAAAAAAAAAAAAAAAAAAAAAAAAAAAAAAAAAAAAAAAAAAAAAAAAAAAAAAAAAAAAAAAAAAAAAAAAAAAAAAAAAAAAAAAAAAAAAAAAAAAAAAAAAAAAAAAAAAAAAAAAAAAAAAAAAAAAAAAAAAAAAAAAAAAAAAAAAAAAAAAAAAAAAAAAAAAAAAAAAAAAAAAAAAAAAAAAAAAAAAAAAAAAAAAAAAAAAAAAAAAAAAAAAAAAAAAAAAAAAAAAAAAAAAAAAAAAAAAAAAAAAAAAAAAAAAAAAAAAAAAAAAAAAAAAAAAAAAAAAAAAAAAAAAAAAAAAAAAAAAAAAAAAAAAAAAAAAAAAAAAAAAAAAAAAAAAAAAAAAAAAAAAAAAAAAAAAAAAAAAAAAAAAAAAAAAAAAAAAAAAAAAAAAAAAAAAAAAAAAAAAAAAAAAAAAAAAAAAAAAAAAAAAAAAAAAAAAAAAAAAAAAAAAAAAAAAAAAAAAAAAAAAAAAAAAAAAAAAAAAAAAAAAAAAAAAAAAAAAAAAAAAAAAAAAAAAAAAAAAAAAAAAAAAAAAAAAAAAAAAAAAAAAAAAAAAAAAAAAAAAAAAAAAAAAAAAAAAAAAAAAAAAAAAAAAAAAAAAAAAAAAAAAAAAAAAAAAAAAAAAAAAAAAAAAAAAAAAAAAAAAAAAAAAAAAAAAAAAAAAAAAAAAAAAAAAAAAAAAAAAAAAAAAAAAAAAAAAAAAAAAAAAAAAAAAAAAAAAAAAAAAAAAAAAAAAAAAAAAAAAAAAAAAAAAAAAAAAAAAAAAAAAAAAAAAAAAAAAAAAAAAAAAAAAAAAAAAAAAAAAAAAAAAAAAAAAAAAAAAAAAAAAAAAAAAAAAAAAAAAAAAAAAAAAAAAAAAAAAAAAAAAAAAAAAAAAAAAAAAAAAAAAAAAAAAAAAAAAAAAAAAAAAAAAAAAAAAAAAAAAAAAAAAAAAAAAAAAAAAAAAAAAAAAAAAAAAAAAAAAAAAAAAAAAAAAAAAAAAAAAAAAAAAAAAAAAAAAAAAAAAAAAAAAAAAAAAAAAAAAAAAAAAAAAAAAAAAAAAAAAAAAAAAAAAAAAAAAAAAAAAAAAAAAAAAAAAAAAAAAAAAAAAAAAAAAAAAAAAAAAAAAAAAAAAAAAAAAAAAAAAAAAAAAAAAAAAAAAAAAAAAAAAAAAAAAAAAAAAAAAAAAAAAAAAAAAAAAAAAAAAAAAAAAAAAAAAAAAAAAAAAAAAAAAAAAAAAAAAAAAAAAAAAAAAAAAAAAAAAAAAAAAAAAAAAAAAAAAAAAAAAAAAAAAAAAAAAAAAAAAAAAAAAAAAAAAAAAAAAAAAAAAAAAAAAAAAAAAAAAAAAAAAAAAAAAAAAAAAAAAAAAAAAAAAAAAAAAAAAAAAAAAAAAAAAAAAAAAAAAAAAAAAAAAAAAAAAAAAAAAAAAAAAAAAAAAAAAAAAAAAAAAAAAAAAAAAAAAAAAAAAAAAAAAAAAAAAAAAAAAAAAAAAAAAAAAAAAAAAAAAAAAAAAAAAAAAAAAAAAAAAAAAAAAAAAAAAAAAAAAAAAAAAAAAAAAAAAAAAAAAAAAAAAAAAAAAAAAAAAAAAAAAAAAAAAAAAAAAAAAAAAAAAAAAAAAAAAAAAAAAAAAAAAAAAAAAAAAAAAAAAAAAAAAAAAAAAAAAAAAAAAAAAAAAAAAAAAAAAAAAAAAAAAAAAAAAAAAAAAAAAAAAAAAAAAAAAAAAAAAAAAAAAAAAAAAAAAAAAAAAAAAAAAAAAAAAAAAAAAAAAAAAAAAAAAAAAAAAAAAAAAAAAAAAAAAAAAAAAAAAAAAAAAAAAAAAAAAAAAAAAAAAAAAAAAAAAAAAAAAAAAAAAAAAAAAAAAAAAAAAAAAAAAAAAAAAAAAAAAAAAAAAAAAAAAAAAAAAAAAAAAAAAAAAAAAAAAAAAAAAAAAAAAAAAAAAAAAAAAAAAAAAAAAAAAAAAAAAAAAAAAAAAAAAAAAAAAAAAAAAAAAAAAAAAAAAAAAAAAAAAAAAAAAAAAAAAAAAAAAAAAAAAAAAAAAAAAAAAAAAAAAAAAAAAAAAAAAAAAAAAAAAAAAAAAAAAAAAAAAAAAAAAAAAAAAAAAAAAAAAAAAAAAAAAAAAAAAAAAAAAAAAAAAAAAAAAAAAAAAAAAAAAAAAAAAAAAAAAAAAAAAAAAAAAAAAAAAAAAAAAAAAAAAAAAAAAAAAAAAAAAAAAAAAAAAAAAAAAAAAAAAAAAAAAAAAAAAAAAAAAAAAAAAAAAAAAAAAAAAAAAAAAAAAAAAAAAAAAAAAAAAAAAAAAAAAAAAAAAAAAAAAAAAAAAAAAAAAAAAAAAAAAAAAAAAAAAAAAAAAAAAAAAAAAAAAAAAAAAAAAAAAAAAAAAAAAAAAAAAAAAAAAAAAAAAAAAAAAAAAAAAAAAAAAAAAAAAAAAAAAAAAAAAAAAAAAAAAAAAAAAAAAAAAAAAAAAAAAAAAAAAAAAAAAAAAAAAAAAAAAAAAAAAAAAAAAAAAAAAAAAAAAAAAAAAAAAAAAAAAAAAAAAAAAAAAAAAAAAAAAAAAAAAAAAAAAAAAAAAAAAAAAAAAAAAAAAAAAAAAAAAAAAAAAAAAAAAAAAAAAAAAAAAAAAAAAAAAAAAAAAAAAAAAAAAAAAAAAAAAAAAAAAAAAAAAAAAAAAAAAAAAAAAAAAAAAAAAAAAAAAAAAAAAAAAAAAAAAAAAAAAAAAAAAAAAAAAAAAAAAAAAAAAAAAAAAAAAAAAAAAAAAAAAAAAAAAAAAAAAAAAAAAAAAAAAAAAAAAAAAAAAAAAAAAAAAAAAAAAAAAAAAAAAAAAAAAAAAAAAAAAAAAAAAAAAAAAAAAAAAAAAAAAAAAAAAAAAAAAAAAAAAAAAAAAAAAAAAAAAAAAAAAAAAAAAAAAAAAAAAAAAAAAAAAAAAAAAAAAAAAAAAAAAAAAAAAAAAAAAAAAAAAAAAAAAAAAAAAAAAAAAAAAAAAAAAAAAAAAAAAAAAAAAAAAAAAAAAAAAAAAAAAAAAAAAAAAAAAAAAAAAAAAAAAAAAAAAAAAAAAAAAAAAAAAAAAAAAAAAAAAAAAAAAAAAAAAAAAAAAAAAAAAAAAAAAAAAAAAAAAAAAAAAAAAAAAAAAAAAAAAAAAAAAAAAAAAAAAAAAAAAAAAAAAAAAAAAAAAAAAAAAAAAAAAAAAAAAAAAAAAAAAAAAAAAAAAAAAAAAAAAAAAAAAAAAAAAAAAAAAAAAAAAAAAAAAAAAAAAAAAAAAAAAAAAAAAAAAAAAAAAAAAAAAAAAAAAAAAAAAAAAAAAAAAAAAAAAAAAAAAAAAAAAAAAAAAAAAAAAAAAAAAAAAAAAAAAAAAAAAAAAAAAAAAAAAAAAAAAAAAAAAAAAAAAAAAAAAAAAAAAAAAAAAAAAAAAAAAAAAAAAAAAAAAAAAAAAAAAAAAAAGAG